GTGATATCAGCCTACACAGCGATTGGTTGCTCAGTGTGTCAAACAAAAGTATATTATAAATGACTTTTCAAGTCTTTTTAGAACTTTTTTTTTTACCAATGTTATTCAACATATTAATAAACATATTTTGAAATCCATTTATCAATATTTATTCCCATTATACAATGAGTGTTTTTAATCAAAATAGTATCAATATTTTTATTTTTAATCAAGTTTTTAACACTGGGTAACGTCACCCTCTCACTTACTCCAGCCTGATTACAGCTATTGGAGACAGCTGTGGCAATGAGCTCACCTGAGCCTAATCAGCACAGCTCCTTCCACCACACCCTGCCAGACCATCTACACCTTCTATCCAAAGTTGTGTCTGAAATCATCCACTCACTCCCTCCTCACTATCGGGACCACTATATGCTGACCTATGTAGCGCAAAGTAACATTTCGGACACTATTCAAGCTATTAATTACGTCGCTCGCTAGCTGCGATTTGTGCCGTAGCAGCATAGTGAAATAACATCAAATTCACAGTTTATTGCATAGCTAAGAAATCAAATCAAATCAAGTTTATTGTCATTTTGCTGTACATACAACAGTAATACAAAAAAGGCGAGAGAGCATTTCTTCAGGATCCAATAACTAAAAGCAATTAAAGAATCATGTGCATATCCAGCAGTTCAGCATTCTGTCAGCGTCTGGAATGAAGCTGTTGATCAGTCTGGAGGTTCTCCCTTCAGTGGCCCGGAAACGTTTGCCTGATGGCACAACCCAATCTCACGGCATTTCGTGAAATGGTCACGAAACTGAATTGTTTTGTATTGTTTCGTGTCCTGGGACACGATTTGCTCCACTTTTTCGTGTTCCCCAGCACGAATTTCAAACCAATACATTTCAATTGGAATCATCTTTCGTGTCTGGGACACGTTTTTCCCCCATCAGACAGCACATATACTGTGATGTTTTTGTGGTTCTGTTATTCCGACAGTCAGGCAGTAACCAATTTCACTGTTGTGGCCCATCCACACTAATAACTATAGAGATCACTATACAGATGTGTGCAGCCACACTGACCAACGTTAACATTCTGTAAACATCTGTGCTGTGTATAAGCTCCGTATTCATTCAAATAGAAAAGACACGAATATACAGGCAGAGAGAAGCTGTTCTGAGATTGTTCTGAAAGTGATCCCAATGATATCGTTCATAGCTATTATCGTTTATTTGTGATAAAATATAAGTGCTTTTACTGTGTTTGGGCTCCATGCTTGTCGTTACTTTAATTTCTCTGTAAACAAATACAACTCTGAAAAGAAGGACACATGCAGGAAAACGACGATCGGAACATGTACTGTGAGCGCAGCGATGGATAATGGCTATATGGCTGTACAGTATGTCATAATAATAATAATTACTTTATTTGTATAGCACCTTGTTACGGCCCATGGTGTTTGTGCCGTTTTGTCATGTGGACTTGTGTAGACCCAGCTGTGGCTGGTTTAGAGCTCCAGGACACCAGCTGCCAGTCATCTCAGCTAATTAACCTGGAGCTGAAGACCTTCACTCTGGCCCTTGTTCTCTTCGCCTCTGGTCACGTCTCATTGGACCACCGCCACTCCTCCTCCACCCCAGCAATCGCCACACCTGGCTATAAAAGCCACCACAAACTTTCAGTGAGGGGCTGGCTAGGATTTAGAGTAGGGGTGGGCAATCCTGGTCCTCGAGGGCCACAATCCAGCATGTTTTAGATCAGGAGTGTCGAACTCCGGTCCTCAAGGGCCGCAATCCTGCAAGTTTTAGATGTTTTCTTCTTCCAACACACCTGATTCAAATGATCAGGATCGTTATCAGGCTTCTGCAGAGCTTGATGATGAGCTGATCATTTGAATCAGGTGTGTTGGAAGAGGGAAACATCTAAAACATGCAGGACTGTGGCCCTCGAGGACCAGGATTGCCCACCCCTGATTTAGAGTGAACAGTCAATGTTCAGGGCTGTACTACAAAGTGAGATTCGTGGGTTTGCGAGGTATGTTGAGCTTAAAGCCAGAATTTTCAGTGCCATGAAGTCCCGGTGAGTCCAATGCAAACTTCTACCTTTGAATTGCTGCTATTTGAACTCCCCTCAGAGTTCAGGTCAAGATGGAGGTGTCACAACTGTCCCTTAACAGTTTTTGGTGTCACAATATAATTTAATTTCGAACAAGAACGTGTTGTCTCCCCTTTACAGTGTCTAAACCTAGATTTAATGATGCAGAAGCATCACAGTAACATGATGTAGCTGGTTCTGGCTATTTTTCAGAGCAGCAATTTTTTTTTGAGGATTTTGGTGATGACATGTGGACTGTGTGCACGGTAAGAGGGACGGGTTGGGGCAACTGATTGTGAAAGTGTGGAGGAAACTGTGTGCCATGGTCCTGCAGTAGAGAAGGTGCTGCTACAAAACACCCAGGTAAAAAAGAAGTGAGCTGGAGTCTGAATGGGAGCACCCAGAGTTGGTGCACCTGTCCAAAGTCAAAATGAAGGAACTGCCTTCGGTTAGGGGCCGATGGCAAATGAATGAATGACTGTCATTATGCTGTCTTCACTGTAGTGTAAAAGCTGCAGCTATCCAACCGTTAAACTCCGGCTTGTAAAATGAATCGTGGCTTGTAGCAACTTGGACTTTTTCTCTGAATCTTGGCACACCTCACAGAGTGAAAAGAGAATAAAACAATGTAAATAAAGGATTGCATTATAGCAGGAGTAAGAGAAACCCTTAACTGCAATTCCAAAGTAAAGCAGCATGTTTATCGCCAACTCCACCTACAAATCCCTTTAACTTTGTCTTTTATGGCGAGCCTCCGGCAATGGACAAATGATGAGGGCCTCTGGGCAAAGATTTGTTAAAGACCCTTCACTCCTTGTACACAGAAACAAAACAGCCATAAACAGTTGGTATTTGTGTTGTTCTGTCATCTTTCTTGGGTTGTTTGGTGTCTCTGGTTTTCCTCTGCATTGTAGGAAGCAACATGTCTGTCAGTCTTGGATGAAGGTGACATTTTATACATGCATGAATCAGTGGCTCTTGAAACACCAGGGGCCTCATGTACAAAGATTTGCGTGGATTTTATACTGAAACCTGACGTATGCTTCAATCCAGAAAACTGCAAAAAAAAAAAATCCAGATGGACGAACGTGAGCGTATGCCTGAATCCAAGCACATTTCCTTTGTACATGGCATTGACCACACATACTGGAGTACCAGACTCCTTCCTCTCCATGCCCTCCATTTAAATATGCAAATTAGTATAAATGGGGCCAACAGGTGGGATTCCCCTCTCTGCACGATCAGATAACATGAAGAAGCAATAAGTAAGAGAGTCAACTGGTTCTTTTCGCACTGCTCCATTGGCAAAAATCCTCCAACAGTGCCAAAGCTGCCTTTGTCGTTAACGGTATCTTCTGCACCATTTTACGTATACTTTTATATCCACTCATCTGATTGCAGACACCAGGATGTGTTAATTGTTTATCTGTGTATCCCTGATGTGCACATCACTTTGAGGAATGACCTTTTTTTTTTTACATTACTAACAGTTTCCCAGCATCACCCTGAAGTGTCGCCAACGGCTCGAAAGCAATAGAAACATGCGTACGCCAGTCAAGAAGTTGGCGTGGAGGTCCGCACATTTCCACGATCATTTCACTCTTGATACATCTAAACGTGAGCGTGGATAAGTGTGTACGCCAAGTTTATGTGTGTACTCACCCTTTGTACATGAGGCCCCAGGTGATTTTTGTTTTTGATAATTTTTACCCATGTTTTTATTTGAATATTTACATTTGTTTATTTTATCTTTCCTTGGCTATATGAGGCCTCTACCTCAATTTAGCTCTGACTTTAAATTAAGGTTGATTGAATTAATAAATGATTTTTAAGATAGAGGCCTGAAATGAACTATCCAGCGGTCAGGGGCCTAATGGGCCTTGGCCGTAGTGGACATAAAGGACACCGTGGTTAGTATCTAGTTTAGAATGATGATTAAATATTTTGAGAGTCAAAAGTATTAGATAACAATTTATCAAGTGCTTCAAATTCTTAATGAGAATGATGAGGCAGCACCTTCAAGGAAGATCCATCCATTATCTATACAACGCTTAGTCCTCACTAGGGTCATGGGGGGCTGGAGTCTATCCCAGCTGACTTAGAGTGAAGGCAGGGGACACCCTGCACAGGTCACCAGTCTATCACAGGGCTACACTTAGAGACAGACAACCAAGCACACTCACATTCACACCTATGGACAATTTAGAATCACCAATTAACCTCAACATGTTTGTGGACTGTGTGGGAGGAAGCCGGAGAACCCAGAGAGAACCCACGCTGCACGGGGAGAACATGCAAACTCCACACAGAAAGATCCCGGGTGTCCTCACCGGGACGTGAACCAGCGACCTTCTTGCTGTGAGGCAACGGTGCTAACCACTGAGCCATTCAAGGAAAATACAAATCAGAAATCTTGTAATTTACTTCAAAATACTGAATGAGATGCAGGTTCACTGGTGTATACGTTGCTTTAACGCGTACAAATTTTGTTAATGAAAAATGACGCCAGGAACAAGGCTTTGACACTCATGCTGGTGGGAATTATTTGGGGTCCTGCAGCAGCCAATTACACGTGCTTCTCTTATTCTGTCAAAACGCTTCAGCTTTATCATCAAGCTGCACTGACAGTTTAATGAAGCTGAGAGTCCAGATCAGCTACTTATCAGACAAACTCATTCTCTCAAAGCATGTGCAGAGTTGCCGGTAAAAATGTGAAAGTATCAAATATAATTAAGCTGCCAAAGAAAGATATTATCCATTTTTTAATTTAGACTTGTGGTGCCAGACAAAGAACTTCTTTCCCCAGCTGGTTCTGCAAGATTGCATCTAGATGATGATGATATAGATAATAATCTGAAGAAAAATTGGCTGTTAATATAGTTATATGGATTCATATAATTTGATTCAGAGTGCCCGATGATTCGCTGTAATATCCTCTTTTATTACGAATTCTGGAATCAAACAGAAGGACGGCTTGAGGGACAAATCTTACAGTTAATCCTAACAGAGTAATTACAACACTACCTGCAAAATTAAACAAACATTGACAGAATTTGACTGGTATGAGTCAATCTGAGCTGACTATATTTCGGTGACACTTAAAAAATTGTTAATAGACATGGGAGACCAAGCCATGGGCGCACATTTAACAAAAAATACAACAAAACAAGGAATCCTGGGATCCATCTGTTCATGCTATTTATTTTGATGAAAAAACACTGACATGTTTAGTTGTTGCTCAATAATCCTAAAGCTCCGCTCAAAATACCTTCTTTTTGGTATTAATTTTTAAAGTTCAGGCCTCTGAGCTAAAGTTTGTCATTGTTGCATATCTAGGCTTAACAATCTCTTATTTTTCACTAGTCTAGGTTAAAATTTGTACTGAACACGCATAGAATCCTATTGTTATGTATTGATTTTACTGAACAAAGAATCTTTATTACTTTTTAATTTCTGGGGAGCAAATGTTGACTCTGAAGAATTAACATAGTTCTGTAATATCTGGAAGATATTTGGTTCCAAAAACTTGTTCAACACAACTTCAGAGCTGAAAAACTCACTTTAAAGGTATTTTGACTGTGTAGTTTCACAAAGAGGATGATTCGAATTCATTGCAGAAATATGACAAACTGTTACGTACAATCCAATACAACTTTGTCAGTTTGCTGACACTTTATTTTGCAAGTGTCAAAGCACTTATTTACAGAAAATTATTTGATGGAGTTATATACCATACTTCTATTTTCATATATATACAATAAATATTAACAACCATTCGTTGTGACTTCAATAATGAAGTAGAATAATCACTTTCTTGACAGTGTTAACAAAAACTGAAAATGTAGGCGTTTGGCGTGTCCTATTGAGGAGAAACACTTAGGACTGTTCGGATGCTGTGGAACAAGAAGAGAACAAAGAATTAGGCAGAACTCCTTATAAATCATTCATCTGTGCTGCTGTTGTTTGGTGATTAATGGTGGCGAAAGTGTAGGAGTGTAAATGTACCATTTGCACTGCTTCATCAGCTCAATGGCATCATTGACTTGGTCCAAAGTCATGTTGTGAGTGATGAACTCATCCAGCTTGACTTTCTTGTCCATGTAGGCTTTGACCATCTCAGGTATGCCATCCCTACCCTTAAATCCTGAGCCACAAAATAAGAGCAAAGACTCTTATCCAGAAGTTCTACAAAGGCAGTAGCACTTTTTTGTTTTTTGTTTTTTTAAACCCAGAGATTCATTCATCAGTGGTGATGATCACATTTGTCTCACCTCCAAACAGGGATCCCTTCCATGTACGTCCACCGATGAGCTGAAGAGGACTGGCAGTGAAACTGTCCTTCATTGTGACGCTAACGATCACACTGACACCCCAACCTTTGACACAGGACTCCAAAGCACTGCTCTGGATGGACAAACGGCACAGAGTCAGTGCACTTGTAATTAGTGGGGTTAAAACTAGCTGAAGACCAGATGGGAAAATGTTGACGAGGGGGCACAATGAATCACTTAGTTTAACTACTAACTACTGCAGGAAAAGAGCAAGTAAAGTCAGTGTACTTTGACCATAATAAAAATGACATTACAGGCATGTCCAAAATTAGTAGTACCTTTGCATTAAGTGTCAGTAATTGGTATTCACCATTTTCCAATACATATTTATTAAAATGGATACTTTGGTTTTTACTTTTCATTTACCATCCATCCATCAGCTATGCTTGCTTATCCTTTACAGGTTTGTGTGAGGGCTGGGCTCATCTTGAGCAAACCTTCAGGTTTGATGGATCCTTTCTCCTAACTGTGAATTTGTTTTTCCTTTATTTCAGTTGGGAAGATCAGGACTCAAAGCAGGCTTCTTTAGAACAGAACACTTTTCGAATGAGACTTAAAGGTACCACTACTTTTCATCACATCTGAATATTGTGCAGATTACATTCAGTCTGCCTCACCATGACTTCCACATTCCCAGTGCATTCCAGGGAGTAGTCCACTCCTCCATTGGTCATCTCAGACAGCACTTCACTGATGGGTTTACTGTGATCTTTAGGGTTGACGAAGTCAGTAGCACCAAACACCTTGGCCTTCTCAAATTTCTCTGGCTTGATGTCAACAGCTATAATCCTCTTTGCTCCTGCGGCCTTGCAGCCCATGACTGCAGCCAGACCCACAGCTCCCAGACCGAACACAGCGCATGTGGAGTCTGGCTGAACCTGAAGAGAAAGGGGTAGAAAAGTTTTGCATCCAAAAACAGTGATTACTTATCAGGAGGCTTTTGCAAACTTGTAGCACAGAAGTCTACTACATGAACTTGAAAATGCGGTAGGATCAGAAGACATATATGGCATTATTATATTGTATTGGCAGACATGATAGAACTGTCACGCCCTCCACCTCAAGCTCTGTGTAGTGGCAGACCCTCTCTACCCCCTCCTATCTCTTTCTACCTTTTTGATCAAGCAGGCTCCGTAATTACCATACAGCAAGGAGCCATGTTATGTCAGCATGAGGAACTGCTCCGTAGTTTAGTCGAGAGCAACAATGCACCAATAAAGCAGGTATCTCAGCTCACTGACAAGGTCACCCATTTAACCACATGTCACCCAGTCTGCTCTGCGGCGGCTAGCCCAGCTATACCTTGCCGTCGCAGAGCTATGGAAGGACCCTTTCCACTACTGAGCATGAGAGGTTTTGTGTGGCATAAAATTGTTCCCCAAGTGTACGAGAGTCTGTACAGTCCCCTCTGCTTATGTCTGCATTCAGGCCAGAGTTTGTGTTTGCATGGTGACTACGTTACAGGCCCAAAAGTGAACATTATGTTGCAGAATATGCAAATATGATCTACTGCACATGTGTGGAACGGAGTTCTGCCAGTGGACTCCAGAGGGCTGTAGAGATTCGTGGGACTTGGATTTATATCAGCTGACAGAAGCATACATTTTTTTTCTATGTAGTTATTCCACACACCTGTGGATTTGCTGTAGAAATGGTGGAAAATGTAATCAAAACATTGAGTTAAGTTTGATGGGCACACAGTCACAGTGGATTCAGGGGGTTACTCTGCAACAGCTGACAAGTGATGCATTATATGTACAGATGAACAGAATCCTGCTGCCTTCAGAGAGAACATCACCAGATATGCACTCATACGAGGCATCGAACAACACTGTCCCACATACACACCTTAGCAGTATTAACTGCTGCTCCATATCCAGTGGAGATCCCACAGCCGAGGAGACAGACTTTGTCCAGGGGAGCTGCAGGATCAATCTTAGCTACAGCGATCTCTTTAACCACAGTGTACTCCGAGAAGGTGCTGGTGCCCACAAACTGTAGCAACTTCTTCCCCTTACTGGTAAACCTGGAGTGTTGCAGTGAATCTCTGTCAACAGCGAGCCTGAATGAAGAAAATGTTTGACATCAAAAACAGGAAACATTGACATTTGAGTGTTTCTCTTGTCCTATTAGAGGATTCTATTTGTAAAGCTTGTTCATCTAATTACTTCTATTGAGAATTCTTGGCATCATACCGCAGGATGATCCAAATGTTTCATCTAAGAAGCTTGACCAGAAGAAGTCTGCCCATCTTCAGTCTCCACTGGTCTTTGTTAAACAAAGACAGTCCTTCTCTGTTGCTCACCTCAATACACATCTTTATACTGTCTGTTAAACTCAATAAAATAGTGGTAAGAATGAATTATGTGCTTTAAATTTTTTTTTACCAAAGACTAAATGGAGTAAATGGAGTAAAAACTCACACTGCTTTTTCACAATGGTTGGTGTTTGGATTCTTACAGAAGCGACATTCTCGGCACTGGGGAACAAAAAAGGGAATCACCTTGTCTCCTGAAAGACAAAGACAATGTTGATAATGTGAATTAGACTTCACAATCTGTTGGCGCCTTTGGATTGAGTCAGGTCGGCTGCTTCATACTGTAGTCCAAATGCTCATCAAACTGTTCTACGACACATCAGGGCATTTTTTGGGGCAAATTTTCCCTTAATTTGTGAGGTAGTAATTTACCCCACAGTTACACAAATGGGTAATAACCTGTATTTTATGATTTGAAGCACATAGGCGGATAGTACTATCCAAAAGGTGGAACAGTTTAAAACTGACCTGGTTGAAAGTCTGTGACTCCAGGCCCAACACTCTCCACGATGCCGGCTGCCTCGTGGCCCAGGATTATTGGAAAGTTTTTTTCAGGCGCAAACTCCAAAAGGAAGTGAAGGTCTGAGTGGCACACTGCTGTTGCCACCAGCTGCACCAAAGACAGTAACCAGTTAATGAAAATTCAAAGACAATGGGGATGAGGGGATTCACTCTAGCAAAACTCAGACATTATAGACTGTTTATTCGTTTGTGTACGGATGTATCTTGACTGTTGAAGTCTCACCTTGATGCGGACCTCATTGGCTTGAGGTGGGTCCACCTCAATCTCCTCAATCACCAGAGGCTTGTTGGGCTCCCAGGCTACTGCTGCCTTGCACTTTATCACCTACAGGACATGGCAGGAAGTTAAACAGAATGGCATACGGCAAATATTGCTTAAGTGTTATCAAGTGGCCAAAAGACCACGGCTGAAAATTAGCCAGCTAGCTAGCTAACCAACTAACTAAATTTGCTGAAATGTTGATTAATAAAGAATAACTCCTCATAAAGTATTAAATGAAATAAAACATATATTAAGATACATTTTCAACAAAGTGGCGTGGTGTCACCTCATCCTATCATGTTGTTCAAACACCCGTTTAAGCTGTATTTGCAATCAAAAACGTCATATGCTCAGTTCTCCTGCATTAAATTAAATTAAATATTAACACTGACGGGCAGATATATTGACAATCGGCTGACCTAAGTTGGAAAATATCAGCGTAAAACATCATCAGCAAAAAGGCACTATTGTTCATTCCTTGAACATGCTTACATCTAGAGTCTTCAGCGTCTGATACAGCTGCTTCTTGGAAATTAGTTTCATTGCTGAAGTATCAACAAAATAAAGTTAGCTGGTGAACTACTGAACAAAGACAGATATAATAAACTCAGTGGAAGCCTTAAATCATTATGATGAAACTGTAAGAAATGCTGTTTTGCTCGTATTGGTTTACAACAATGTCATGTTGTCAGGATTAAATGGCTAAAAAGGTCTGATGTTGTGCAGAAAACAGTTCTGACCAAGTCTGAGGCTGATTACAATCGAAAACGAACAACCCAGCTGTCAAACTTGGTTGGTTTGAACAGAGAGCTGAATCCCCTCTACGGCTGCTCACTTGTTCTCCACACTAACCCGTAAACCAGCTCCTGTGGACAGAGCATCACCTTGCAGTTTTTATTCAATTTGAAAATGAATCCAATGAAAAATGGGCCTGAAGCTTCACAAATGAATAACTGAATTAGATTTTTAATGTGTCATGTTTGGGCTGCTTCTTCAGAAATTGGATTTTTAAACAAAAATGAAAGAAAAAAAAGAAGAGAGACTCATTGTTCTAATTTCCCCACTTTCTGTATTTTGCACAGGTGAGTAGCCTACAAAGAATAAAACAGAATTAATCATTACTTAAGTCACACAGTCTACTGATGATAAGTCAAAGCTGCATTTAAGAGGAGCTGTTATAATCTGAAACCACCACATCCACCAAAGACACCTTGTTAATGACTGATCAGACTTCAGTTTGCTTGGGGTGAGTATGTGAGACATTAACCACTGAATTCAAGCCCTGAACACAATAAAAGCTTGACCTAAAGGACATTAACTCCTATCAGTCCAGCCAGTTGGTTTAAAAAACAAAAAACTCAAGCTGGAGTTGGTTCCAGAGTAAAAGTCAGAGGATCATTGAAGTCTATATGGATTCATCATCTGAGAATTATTTAATGCATGTAAAAAAAATGTACAAATCAACTGATATGCCACGTTGCGAAATCAAATTGAGAAAACAAACAGGTTTCACATTGTCCTCATTAGAGATGTATGACAATATTGATATTATGATTCGAATCCTATTAACCGATAAAGACATTTAAATGAAATATTAACACTGACGGGCAGATATATTGACAATCGGCTGACCTACGTTGGAAAATATCAGCGTACAACATCATCTGCAAAAAGCCAGTATTGCTCATTCCTTGAACATGCGTACATCTAGAGGCTTCAGCATCTGATACAGCTGCTTCTTGGAAATTAGTTTCATTACTGAAGTATCAACAAAATAAACTTAGCTGGTGAACTACTGAATAAAGACATTGTGTCAGATAAAATAAAGTCAGTGGAAGCCTTCAATCATTATGATGAAACTGTGAGAAATGCTGTTTTGTTTGTATTGGTTTACAACAGTGTCATGTTTGCCAGAATCAACAGCTACACTATTGCATAACTGCAGTGGAGACAGAACATGTAATGTTTTACAAAAGCCAAGGGGGAAAACAGAGAGAGGGAGGGAGAAAGCCAGACAGAGCCAGAAATACTGAGTTTTAAGGTAAATGAAATGTGTCTACATCAAGTATTTCACCAAAATTAAGATAAATGTGTGTTTTTTCTTAAGTTCTGCACACCAAAGAACTGAAACAGTGGTGAGAAACCAGCTTGCCATTGCACCCATCTACAGCTCAGCTACTGAATTGACATCAACATGAATTGCTAAAACGCATGTATTGCAAAAATATCCCAAATGTTGAACTATACTCACTTTTCCAGCTGTGGCCATTTTTGCTGCAAAGATGAGCGTCCACAAGTTGGAGAGGAGCTAGAGAGACCTGTGGTTGCAGGGCAAAGGAGTGGGAGTGGAGTAATTTGAACACCACAATTGGTTATTTCTGACTGAATCACTGATCAATGTGAGTTCCAAAGGTCACAGCACTTTAAAAAAAAGTCCCTAAAAAAAGATATGAGAAGGAAAAAAAAAAATCTTTAAATGATGTGAATAATGTTTATTCGATCCAGAGGCTGCACGAACAAACAAGAGCAAAATCTGGAGGTTTGGCTAGCTACCAGTGCATTACATGACCTTATATACACTTGCCAACGCCCCGCTTTCCCCCGAAAAACCCAACCCCTTTACTTCGAAACCAATCAGAATGTCCGTAGTCAGCATTATTTCATGCAATGTAATTCAGGACTTATGTAAACTTACTAATGTGGTCTGTCAAGTGATGTACAGGAATGTCACAGGTCAAAACAAGCATACACACCTTAGCAGCATTAACTGCTGCTCCATATCCAGTGCAGATCCCACAGCCGAGGACACGTACATTCTGGAAGCACTCTGGACAAAGTCTATTTCAAGTTGCAGGTCAAAATAAAACAAAGATTGTTCATTCTGTCATGCCTATAATACTCCTGGTTCCAGTCCTGTCCCCAAAAGGACTGTTTTAATGTCTGTAACTTTAAATCCAGCTCAGCTGCTGCTGCCCACACTCATCTCAGGACACATGCACTTATTTTTTCCTTAACAAATGGAAATACATAGGAAATAACAGACAGGTTGATCTACAGTGATTCAAAGGAGGACGTATTTAGCTTATTTTCAACTGATCATTGGGAGGGACAAATTTGTGTTTTCTCAGTATTCGGGGGTCGTGTTGTCCACAGAGAATGACTGGCTGTGCCATATGCAGGGGAAAAATAGACTTCTTGTAGCCTCATCTCCTGCATGTGTGTTATGCCCCGGCCTAGGGGAACCTGGGGCATAGCATGGATATTGCTCCACACTAGTCCCTCCACCTCGAAGAATGCCAGCCACACCAAGAAGTCAGGTAACAAAAGAAGAGCAGTTTCTTTATTTTTGTCAATCAAGGAGGGGAAACCGGCCAAAACAACAAACAAAACTTATTCT